AAGGAGCCATCACAAGAAGGGCTTTGAGCCCATGTTCTGTCTCTAGTTAGCTAGTTTATATAGACATGATTTCAGAGGTAAGTTGTTCTACATGGCAGTGGATGAACCATATTGCTCCAAAAAATGTGGTTTCAATTGAGATGAAGTAACAAAAACATAAGCTAAATCTCCTCCAAAAGGGAGTCTTTTGCAGTCTGGGTTTTCTTTCTTTCTTTCCTTTTTTTGAGGAAGGTTTTCTACCCCTATTAAGGAAATGGTTTTCCGGAGGAAGGTGAGCATGTTTGAGGGAATGAAGTGGTTAGATTTTATTGTTTCCTAAACGACTTAGTTCTTTTTGTTCTGAAATCATTGATAAAAATCAATGGTAATCAACCCAGCAGGAGAGCATTACTAATATTCTACAATCCAGAAAAAAAAAAGTGTAAGTGGAGAATAGGTGCATAATCACTACACTGAATCTGAACTTTGGCTTCATTTCCTTGGGTTTGGTTTTTATGCAAAACATCTTAGAAATGAGTCCTGGACTATGAGAGATTAAAAATGTGCCTATTGTTCTTTCACATTACTTGAAGTGTTCTGAATTTTTCCCCCCTAACTCAATTCCATGGACTATCTGGGAGTTGTCACATTTTTAGTAATAACTGTGTCAAGCTGTGCTGACAAAGTGTCCCCACATAACTGTTAATAAGCATTGTCATTTTAAGCATGAAACAGTTTAGCTAATGATTTATCTCTTAGAATGCAACACTTGGGGCAGCTGTACGATTTGTCTCTTTAGCAAGTCAAGTAATTTCTTTAACAAAATGTTCAGCACAGATGGGCCATAAGCTGTCAGTTAACTATTATTGTGTCTGCATCTGCTTGCTCTCAATGCTCTGTTTTATGTATTCAGTTACTTAGCTGCAGCTCCGTGAAAAGCCGAACCTACTCTGATTGGCAAATAAAATGTTCATTTGTCTCTTCTTCCTATTGTTTTGTTTTGGTAACACATGTCAGCAGCTCAATTACCCAGTTCATTAACAGCTCCCAAAGGACACGATGGCCGGCCCATGATAAGAGGGCAAGAGTGGCCCATATGGTCCATAATGGCCTCTCTTGGCAATTGTAAATAAAAGTCACTTGGCCCTTTTCCTTTCAGGAGAACTACCGTTTTCCTGTTCCCCTTCAGTGTGCAAATTACCTTTCTTTGCTTCTTGCAACCCAACCCCAGTAACTCAGAGCCTAGCTTCCTGCCTTAAGAGGGAGGCATGGAGACAGGAATCTGGCTAGAGTACTGGCTCTTATTTTTAATTATGACTGACTTTGAAGCTTCTGAGAGGGGAAAGTTCTTATCACAGGAGACTATTCTTAGAAAGCTGTTAGCTGATTAATTAGTTAACTAATCAGTTTTCCTAATTGAATAGCAACACGTTTTCTTGAGGCTCCTCTCTCTCTCTCTCTCTCTCTCTCTCTCTCTCTCTCTCTCTCTCTCTCTCTCTTTCCCTCCCTCCCCCCCTCATTGAAATGCTCTGGTGGTGGTTTCCATGGAGTTTAAAAAAGTCATTAAAAATTGTCCATAGCAGTCAGTTGCAGGGGAAGTGAAACTTCATGAGAAATTCTCCCGTTGTATAGGGATTTCTTGTTACTCTTAAGTTTCAAACGGTCTTTAAGGAGCCATTGGGTTAATTTGGGTCAATGTCAGGTCCCTAAGCCAATAAGGGCTTCTTCCTTGTCTTCTTCCTTCACATTCAGCCTTCGGAAGGAGGTTCTGAAACAGTTTGGTCAGGATTTTGTGGCTCTCTGAAGCAAAACATGTTGTTGGTGGGAGGAAGAGGAGGAAGAGGAGGAGGAGGAGGAGGAGGAGGAGGAGGAGGAGGAGGAGGAGGAGTGGAAGAGAGAGAGAGAGTACAGAGTACAGAGGACAGAGAGAGACAGAGACAGAGACAGAGAGAGACAGAGAGACAGAGAGGAGAGAGAGACAGAGAGGCAGAGGCAGAGAGAGAGAGAGAGAGAGAGAGAGAGAGAGAGACAGACAGACAGACAGAACACAAACAAACATGTTTTTACTTAAAAGTCCTTTACCAGGGACTTTGCCTACTAAAAAGAATCGCTAGCAGGACTGCAGTGAAGCAACGGAGGGAGAGAAATCAGCCTAATTTTCCAGCATCCTTGCTAAGTGACTCAGGAGCAGGTCATGCTCACGGCTGGGACAGATCTATCCAGAAAGAGGGTCTCTGTGCCTTTAGAAATCCCGAGCGCACCTGTAACTCAGTGATTTGGACCTTCAGATATTCTGGGAGCCTGGGGGTCTGGGGGTCTGGGTGTCCGGGGCTGTGCACCGCTCAGCACCTTCGGGGCAGCGAGGCAGCTTGGCGGGGGCCGGCCCTGTCGGCGGCTTGTCAGCCAGTATCTTAAACAAACACCCAAAGGTCCGTGTTGCGCGTTTCCAACAAGGCTGGGGCGCTGCAGCCTCCGACTCGCTCCTCTGGTTTGGCCTTGCGGCTGGTCATATTCATAACCAATCTGTACTCGCCCCCCAGGGCAGCGGCACTCGGGGAGTTGTTGAGTGTCAGGGTTTATTTGTGCTGTTTTGATTAGCACCAACCTGGCAGGAGCTTATTTTCCTTCTAATGACCCCGTGCTGCGAGAAGACGGCTTCTGAGGGGAGCACTTAGGTCAGAGGGGGAGGGAATTGCGTTACATTCTCCGGTCCCGAAAGGGGACCGCTGAGCAGGAACAAGAGAAGGTAAATTAGATTTAGGGTTCTTAAAAGAACCCTTCCCGGAGAAAATCCAGAATATCCTTGCCATGAAAGGTCCAACTATTTTTCTTTTTTTCTTTCTAAATTTCTTTTTAAATTGGCTAAATATTCCTGCATTGTTGTATTTGGGGGAAGAAAACACAAAGGCAACGCCTAAAGACCCTTCCACCTCCCAGGGACCATCGGTTAGGTGGAAAATCATCTCTTTGGATTTATCACATAAAATGAACCAGGATTCGCGCGTGCGGAGTTCCTGCTGAGGAATTCTGCAAAGTTTTGCGTGGTCCTTTGTTCCTTGACTGTCCTGAAGTTTCTGGATCCGCTTTAGGATTTGCTTGTCGCTCTCTGGTGTGTTTCTTTCTGGCGGGCTGGGGTGCTGCTCTTTTCTTTGCTTGACACAGAAACAACTGAAAAACACACAAAATAATGTTGCCCACTCCTTCTGAGCTTGTGAATTAACGCGGAAGAGAGGCTCACAGGTGCTTGCGTCTCTGAAATGACTTGGATTAACCCCTACTGTGCATCCATTTCAACCATCCCCCCCACCCCTCTCGGAAAACCCAAAAACAACAAACCAACGTCCCCTTTCTCATCCAGCCCGGCTTTCTTTGTGTCTGTGGCTCCCTGCCAGGCAGGTGTCAGAGTCCTGAATGAGGGAAATGCTCCATTGATGGCTTCCACAGATGGAGCGTGGAAATCGGGAGAATAGGCCGCAGCCACAGGCCATTTCTCGGGATCCAACAAAAGCCTCCAAATAAGTCAACAAAAATCCCAAAGATCACAAAGGAAAAATGTCATTTGTCATTTACGCCGGGCTCTATGAGGGAATATCACTCTTGCCTTGCTCCTCGGGGCTTTCACCCGAGTAAACACGAGAGAGGTCATTTCTCTGGGTTGTAAAAGAGCCATTTCAGATCCGAAAACGGTTACTTGTCCTTTTGTACCCTTCATGTTGAATGAAAAAAAAAATCACAGTCACAGGAGACATTCTGCAGTGAGCCCTGGGCACCCCATGGGATGTACCTATGGAATATCCTGAGAGTGTCAGCTGAGGGGTGAGGGCAGGTGGGGTGGATATGGAGGATGGATGTCAAGGATTTTAGGGAGCACCCAGTGTCATATTTTAATTTTATGTTAGAATCCCCGTTCCTTGGTCTTGAGTCCCAGCTTTGAGCACAAACGTGAACAGGTTTAGCTGGGAGAGATTGGCATAGAGAAAAGGCCATCTGATTTGGGCTGGGGCCATCTTTCTTGTGAGTGAACGGGCCAACAAGGAAGTTCAGTTTCCAAGCCCACAGAGAGGCCCCTGCAGATCCTCCCGTGTCCATAAATCGCTTTGTGTTATATCTGGGGCAAACACAGAGTTTAAATGGTTGTCATGTTTTGATTCTTTCTTTATTCAAATGAAAACGTCTTGCTGGGTCGAAAGACAGTGGGGGCCAAATTCATGCTTGCGAATGATTTTGTTCCCCATTTTTTTTTGGCCTGTCTCTGACTTATATTGGTCTGGAAATCAATAATTACAGAATTCCACGTGACCAAATCCCTATCAAATTGAGGTAAGATCTCATGTATAATAACGTTAAGGAGGGTGAAATATTTCCTCAGGCTACGGCCGAGGTCACCAGGGGTTAACTGACAAAGACCTAGTTTCTAATTCTGTAATTCCTTCTTTAATTAAACTTCATGGTTGGTCTGCTGGTGGTAATACTTCAGCCTTCTCCTCCTCCCAGTTTGATCCGTTTCCTAAGGAAGAATTTGTAATCCAGTGGGGGTGTGATTGTGACCTGTGCTTAATTCTTCATTTTTTTTCTCTTTCTTCACTGACAGTGTTAATTTCCCCAAAGTTAATCTTGGGAATCACTGTGAACTAATAGGAATGTGAAAAAAATTGGGCACCTAAGGCCTAAAATTTGCTTGTGATAGTAAAAAAAAAAAGAAGCAGAGAGTTAAAATGCTCTGGTCTCTGGGAAGAGGTGATATATTCCTGCAGTCACACTGATATTTCTTCAAAATTTCAAGTAATTTCTTTCTCTGCTTTTGTTTATAAAGAATTTAAGATGACTTTACAGCTCTTTTTCACAATATCTCACCATACTCTTTCACAAAGGTATCCTTAGTACCATAGAAGAAAACAAACAGAATGAGTGATCGGGTCAGCCATTTCTGATCATAGTATATTTCAGATCAGATCTCAGAAGCAAAGGTCTGTCACAATTCTTTCTTTCTTTCTTTCTTTTTTTCTTTCTTTCTTTCTTCTAAAAAAGGTTGGTTAGATGCAATGAGGTAGATAGCTGAGCCTTCTCTTAGCTGTATGCATGTTATAGACCTGAACCGTCCCTCCTTATCAAGAGAGGTGTTAATTTTGTCACCTTTTATATTACACTGTCATAATTCTTTTTTTAAAAAAATTTCTATTAATGTATCACTATGAGGTACAGTTGTAGACATACAAACTTTCGTGTTTACGTTTCAGTCATACAATGATTGGGTACCCATTCCTCCACCAGTGCCCATTCTTCACCACCAATGATCCCAGTATCCTTCCCAACACCCCAACCTCATCTCCCCTAACACTGTCATAATTCTTAATGAAAACTTAAAATAGACTTTGACTTCTTAAATGTATTCAATACATGACAAATTGATTCACTTCTTAGTTCCAACAACTAGACTTTGACTCTATAAAGAATTCAGTTGAATTGAAGTCAATAGGAAATCTTCGTTATATAATATTGCTGATTTTGCTTTGTGAATTTCATTTGAATCTACCAAGTTTCAGAATACTGGGACAAATGAAACTAAGAATGGGAATTCACTAAGTGGTTTACATTGAAATTTTGTTTTGGTTGATTTCTGGCATTGCTTTTCAGAAAAAATTGTGTGTGTGCACATATATGTGTGTGTTCACATGAAAGGTAAAGCAACTCACCTCCTTTTTTTGTTGGTATTAGTCATGTGTGTTAGTACTGTGGTCATACACAATGCTGATTTTGGAGGGCCCACCAGAGACTCTTCCAGCAGTGCTGATAGTGGTGATGGGGCTTGGTGGTAGGGATCAAACCCAAAGCCTATCCATATGCAAGGCATATGCTCTTCCACTTGAACTACATTCATGACCTCTCAGCACCTATTTAGTGCACTGCAGAATTAAAAAGAAAGTAAAGGACCAGAGACTTAGTATGGAGGATAAGGCATTTGCCTTGTGTGCTCCTGACCCAGGTTTGATCCGTGGTACCACATATGATCTCTCTTGACCGCCAGGTGAGTGAACCCTGACCACAGAGCTGGTAGTAAACCCTGAGTACAGCCAGGTGTGATTGCAAAACTCAAACCCAAACCAACCCCCCCCCCCCCAAAGAGAAAGAATGTCATGTGCAGAAGTATGTCATGTGTAGTACCACAAAGTTGAACAAGTCCCGTTCTCCCTGACTGTATGACCAGAGTAACCTCTCAGTTTCTTTTTTCTGTACAATGGGTAATCACTTTATTTTGGTGTGTGTGTGTGTGTGTGTGTGTGTGTGTGTGTGTGTGTGTGTAATTGCATGAAGGGAGGAAATTCTCATTTTTTTGGTTTGGATTGCTCCAGGTTCATTGGAATCATGGAGCTAAATTAATTGTTATTAGCCATCTGTGTTATTAATTGCGATAGCACAGTGGTAGGGCGTTTGCCTTACAAGCGGCCAACATGGCCGACCCGAGTTCGGTTCCTCTGTCCCTCTCAGAGAGCCCAGCAAGCTACTGAGAGTATCTTGCCCGCATGGCAGAGCCTGGCAAGCTACCTGTAACATATTCGATATGCCAAACACAGTAACAACAAAGTCTCATGATGGAGACGTTACTGGGCCTGCTCGAGAAAATTGATGAACAACGGGAGGACAGTGACCGTTATTAGTTGAATAATATTTTAATATACATCCTGGGTCCTCTTTTGGTTTATTTGCTTGTTTATTTGTTTGCTTAAAGCCAGAATGGGTTATGAGAAGGTTTAAATTAAGAGCAAAACTTTTGTGTGTCTGATATGAATATGAATTGGGATATAATCTAAGAATTCCTAGGCAATTTGGAGCAATAGAATTTCCACTTGGAAGGCCATGTATTGCTGTGAACTTTCTTATGAGAATTATTCTGGAATTTCAAATTGGGAGACAATAGTTCTACTGAATAATAAAGCACACTTTGGGAAGGTATGGATAGAATATGACCAAGCAACTTAAATACAATGGACAGCTTCCCTTAATATTAAGGCTGAAAAACAGAAATAGACCAAAGAGATCATATTACTGAAGAGATATCTCTCCTTTCCTCCCCTTCCTCCTTCCCCCTGTCTTTTTCTCTTTTTCTTTCCTTTCATTCTTCCCTCCCTCCCTCCCTCTCTCCCTCCTTTCTCTCATTCTCTCTTTCCCTCCCTCCCTCCCTCCCTCCCTCCTTCCCTCCCTCCCTCCCTCCCTCCCTCCCTCCCTCCCTCCCTTCCTTCCTTCCTTCCTTCCTTCCTTCCTTCCTTCCTTCCTTCCTTCCTCCCTCCCTCCCTCCCTCCCTCCCTCCCTTCCATCTTCTCCCACATTTTGGGGCTTTATTTTTCTCTGTGCTAAGGGGTCACTCAAGGGACCATATGAGGGACCAGGGATCAAACTCAGGTTGGCTGTATGCTAGGCAAGTGCCTTAGCTGCTGAATTGTCCCTCTGGGACCTCTTTTGGTTTATTTGTTTGTTTGTATAAAGCCAGGAATTGAACATGGGCATCCTGCATGCAAAGCATGCATTCAGTCCTTACTACCCCCTAAAAAGGGTATATTTAATTTACCAGTTGTATCCTCATAATTATCCTCATAATTTGTTAACTCATTTAGATAACTCATTAACTCACTTAGATAACTTGTTTTCTATTTCCAAGTTATAGCATTTGATATTCTGCACAGAAAAAAGCAATTCATTCTATTGAGCAGTCATTACACAACGAAAATCAGATTTTTTGTAGCTAGTATTTAATATCTTCTAATTTCTTGAGTAAAGTTAAATTTCAACAAAAGGTTTCATTTATGCTTTCATAATGATATTTAAGTTTTAAATTCTTTTTGGTTAAATTCAAAAGATTCACACTCATGACATTACTGTGAACTATGTTTTGTGTGAAAAGTGAATTTTATTTACATGAAGTGATAGAACAAATAGTAGTATTTCTATTTTTAGGAATAGCAAGTATTTTCTAGTTGGTAGATTAATCTTGGGTTGCTGATTTAACATATTTGAAATCCCACATCCTTTTGGGTTTAAAAATGGGAAAAAGCTAGAATTAACCTTTATAAGACTGTGACTTTATAGTGACAAAAATGGTTGTATGGCTCAGACAGTTTTTCAGCAGAGAAATGAGGTACATTTCTTCAGTGATTTTTTAAAAAAGATGCTGAATGGAGATTCCTAATTAAATGTGACTTTTGGACTGATTTTTAATAAACAGCTAGAAATAAAAGTTGTGATTTGTTAACCTGTTAAAGAAAAAAAATTTTTATGGTAAAGACTTTCTCATTGAAATCTGATATATTCAGAATCTTAAATCACTAGTTGTCAATGACTCTTCATTTTTTACTTAAAAAATAGACCATAGCCCTCCTGAAAGAAAGACTAATTATTCATTAGGAAAATTCAGATATACATTAATTACAAATTTTTCCAAATAATTTTTTAATGATTTACAGATCACCAGAGCTCATCAAAGAACCTCAAAGCTGTGAGAGAATCATGACAATAATCTTCCATTTTGTTTATTTGTTTGTTTTGCCATACTCAGTGGTACTCAGGGCTTACTCCTGGCTGTGTGCTCAGGTATCACTCCTGGCAGTACGCAGGAATCATATTTGGTGCTGAGAATCAAAACAGGTACAAGCCGGGGCTGAAGTGATAGCACAGCAGGTAGGGTGTTCGCCTTGCACGCAGCCAACATGGCCGACCCAGGTTCATTTCCCAGCATCCCATATAGTCCCCTGAGCACTGCCAGGAGTAATTCCTGAGGGCATGAGCCAGGAGAAACCCCTGAGCATCGCCGGGTGTGACCCAAAAAGCAAAACAAACAAACAAACAAACAAAAAACAGGTACAAGCCATGCATCTTTAACTCCTATATTATCTCTCTAACCCCAACATTTTCATTTTAAAGATGCAAAATGGGGGCAGAGAAATAAATGTTAAAACTTAAATTTAAGTGAAATTTCATCCTTTTATTTCAGGATTCATGCTTGGAAACATGACTATACCGGTTTACTCTTGACATTTTATCTTTTCTTAAATTTTTAAAATTATAATTCAGGGAATGGCTAAAATAATGTCAAATTTTATGATTTTGATGTATAAAGTTACTGCATCCCACCAAAGTGCCCATGACCCTCTTCCACTGACCCTATGTCACCTCATGTAGTCTGATCTTCCTTCATGATACCATGATACCCTTTGCTTGTTAAACCGCTTTGTAATCCAACACCAAGGGTTTGCCATCCTTCTATGCTGTCTATTTTCTTGTCAAAACTTGAATTTTATTCTGCATTCTTTTACAACATGGACATTGAACACCTACTATATACTCCAAGTGTTCTAACAGTGAACAAGGAAGAAAGGGGTCTTGAATTTATGTTCTGGGGTATTGACTGTCAAGGTGAAGAACAGCGGTCTTGACCCTCAGCATTAACTCTCCCCAGTACTTATAAATCTGAGCAGCCTTTTTCCCCTTCAGAAACCAGAGATGATTTTGATTAATTGACCTGACAGTGCATGGCACATCATATTTACACGGGAGGACTTAATAACCCCAGAGACTTCCATAGGAAACATGAAAATTTCCACAGACTGGGATCTTAATGGGATCAGAGTTAGAGAAAGTGTCAGCCAAGGTCTCACTTTTTTTTTCTTTTTGGGTCATACTTGGCAATGCACAGGGGTTACTCCTGGCTCTGCACTCAGGAGTTACTCCTGGCAGTGCTCAGGAACCATATGGGATGCTGAGAATCGAACCCGGGTCGGCCATGTACAAGGCAAATGCTTATCCGCTGTGCTATGACTCCAGCCCCCAAGGTCTCACATTCTTATAGGCAGAGGATGCTTCTTATCATTCCTTCAATGCTCTGATTATGTCTCTGAATTTAAGTTGGACAGAAGGGTTAGGATAATAGAGATCAGAGCATGGAAAGAAAAATAAAGTGAAAATGTATTGTCTTCAGAGGGAGATAAGTAATCTGGTTCTTAGGGATTATAATATTTGTAATTTAAGTTATATCATGGAAATTATCATGGATAAATCATGGCAGGAAGTATATATACTTGGGAATTTTGAGAGGGAAAGAAGAATTAATGTGGAATATTCTAGAGATAGTTTTTTTTCCTGGGATGGAGGAGCAGTG